TCTCTCTCTCTCTCTCTCTGTCTGTCTGAGTCCTCCAGCCCCGCCCTCCAACCGCCATATTCACCCCGTTCTCTTTTACCTTTCAGTATATAATTAGGCTTTATCTCGTGAGGTCACTGAAACAATGAGGCAGACTTTACTATACACTTGTAATTGATCAATTCATTCAGCGATTGTGATTCCTTCCTTTGCAGTCCGCTATCAACTGGCTCGTGAAAAACAGCCGATGTGGATCATTGCATCAGAATCGCGATTCAGTTCCGAGACAGGTCGTACCATACTCCCGCTAAGCGAAGAGTGATCCTTCACTTCACAAATAGGAATAAAATTGTGTGACCTGTCTGTTCGCGATGAGAATTAACTCGTAAAACTGGGAGATTTTCAAGAACTCGACATTGTTTTGTTATTTATTAACATTACAAACTATAAGAGGAGCAGAAGAAAACAGAATAATTATGAAACAGATCGAAGGAACACGTAAAATACACCCTTCTTATAAGTTAGCTGCTTATTGGCCTTTCTGTTCGTATACACGTATCTATTCAACTTGCTGTTTTTCAATAGACTGCTTTGTCTAAATGCATCAATCAGTCTGTCTGTCCGTCAGTCTGTCTGTCTGTCTGTCTGTCTGTCTGTCTGTCTGTCTGTCTGTCTGTCTGTCTGTCTGTCTGTCTGTCTGTCCGATCATATGGTTGTCAACGTATCAGATCTATGCCACACAATGCATATTATCATCTCGTAGCTTGTCTGTCTACTGTTTTTATCCCCAAGTGCCTGAGCAGACGCGTAGAGGTGGGCGATCATGCGGCTGACATTTCGCACAGTCTCTTGAGACGTGAACAATCGATACATTGCGGAAAACCTAATACATAATATAATATAGCAGCCAGTGCACACTGCTTATCGGACTCATCGAATCGAGCCGGGGCTAGCCAGATTTACCTTGTTGTTGTTTTTTTTGGTTTTTTGCCTCTGAGATTTTTCACTTCCAAAAGAACCCAAGCTGATTTCTCATTCAATTTGACCACGTTATGCTATATCATGCGCAATGTCCCCAAATGCACACAACACATCCCTTTATCAGTTCCCACAGAAACGATAAAACGATAAAAATGTTGGTGACAAGAGGGGCGTTGTTTAGTGATGAAGTAAGACACACGCCTTCAATGTTGAACTACTGCATGAGCATAACCGAAGTTCGTGCAGACATGGTGGCTGGACGACTTTAGTTCGCAAATTCTTTTAAATGTTCACAACTGTTATTCCAAAACACAAGGGGTTTTAGCACCCGGTCTTCTCTAAAAGAACAGAAACAAACAAACAAAAAATAAACAAGCAAACAAAAAAGAAGAAACAAAACAAAAACATTAAACCACCTTTCCAATCTGGAGGAGGTGGATATTGCATGAATACAGTGTGCTTGTTATAGACGAGTATTGGAATATTCCAGAAAAGATATATATTGCAATTACGAACAAAAAGAGGGGGAAAGGGGGGGGGGGGCTAACCGACGTAGCTAGTTGAGAGACAATTCGGTAAAAGAACTGTAGAGTTTATGTCTGCCAGAGACACGAGGGCACACTACTAAATAACGGGGAAAAAGCAATGCAAAAAAGCAGCCACTCTGTGGGTCGAAAACCCGACAACAGACAGACATTGATATTAGAAAGAGAAAACGGGGTAGGGGTGGGGCCGGATGGAAGATAAATCACAAAGCAGAAAGAAGTGCTATACAGATGAACAATACTGTCTCTTTGTCAGAAAAATATAATGACATAATATGCAATGTTCTCTCTCTCTCTCTCTCTCTCTCTCTCTCTCTCTCTCTCTCTCTCTCTCT